GGAAATGTCAGTATTTATGGGATAACCAGAGAGGATTAAATTAAACTTCAAGGTCCAGGGAAGGATGCTTGTAAACGTAACAAAGGTGTCTTAAAAAAAACCCAAACCAAACCTACAAAAAATCCCACACTTTTTTCTGTATAAGCTGATTAATAGGTTGTAATGAAGAAGATACAAGAACAAGGGGATAAGGAAGGCATGGATAATGGCTCTGCCTAGTGAAAGACTCAAAGATTGAATTTGAAGTAATATTATTGGTGTCTCCATTGCCATTTTTGAGACAACAGAACAATAAGTCATTTGTAGATTGTGGAAACTTTCATAGTGTGATTGTCCTCCTCATTTCAGAATGTTACATGATAAATGTAAATATTTACTAAATTATACAATATTAAAATAAGTTTAAATGAGTCATACAGTTCCTACTTCAGAGTAATTGTCTCAGGATGTCTAGGGATTCAGCTTTAATACAATAACTCTTGAGTACGATCTGTGTAATCAAGAGACCATTCTTAATTTTTCTTCAGTTTTTAAAAACCTGTATGGACCTCGCATAATGCAGATTCTGGCTAAATCTTGAAAGGCCCTGTACAAGTGAACCTCTAGCAAATGACTTTGGAAAGGTGTTTCTTCTTATGAATCAGAAAGTATTGATAGTGTGTCTAGGGTTATCTCCAGGTGAAAGATTTGGACAGGATGTTGTCCTATCGACAATACAGCCTCATAGAAGTCAACCTCCTATTTTGAAGGAAAGAGATAGGTGAATTGGTGGTGGATGGAACTGATTCAAAGAACATTTAGGGCACAAAATGAGTACAGTGCTGTTTGTATCCTCTAAAGCTGTTTAATAAAATAAGTTTGGAAAGTTTCAGTTGGCAGAAGTTTGAGTTGGCATGATTTTTATAGAATACTGTACTGTTGACAACATTGTTTCTCAAGTCTTCAACTCTAGAAACTGTACTCTGCTTCCACTTTGTTATAAATATCATGCCAATTTTGAAACATTAATAAAAGTAGGTTTAATATTCAGTTTGGTTTCCAATAAAGGGTGCATAATAGCAGTGTAATTTTTACAAACTTTTTTGTTTTGAAGTTGTAGATAAACTTTGCTATAAACTACTCAGTAGATTTGCTAGAAAAGCTTGTGATTGAGTGCTATGTATGCTTGCCTTTTTGCTTCCACCTAGAATCCAGGGCCATTACTTTCTGTAACCATTTCAGTGAGCTGCCATAGTTTTCAGTCTGTACTGTCACCTGATCCAAGCATGCGCCAAAATACCCACCGTTTCTGGCTACTGTCTGCTGAATCTGCTTTGCAAATCCTTAGTTCTTAAGCTTTTGCCTTAGCAAAAACCAGCAACAGACACTCTTACGGAGTGTACTGGACACATGCCATCCTGCTTCCCTGACTCCTCTAATTGTTTATGTAAATCCTTAGCTTTACTAAACTTGTAAATGCTACAATGGCACCCCCATGTGAAATTGTGTGGCTCATGTGTCAAAAAAGGCTGCTTGTTAAAATATTTGTCAGAAGAATATGAATGCTACACATTGCACTGCATTCAGTGTTTTGTATCAATTTATTATTGCAATGTCATGGTGTTTGATTTTAATTGTAGACAATCATTTTGTGTTTTAATATGCAAAGGTAAGTTCATGTAAACGGTGAATGTACAGTATTTATATATAAACATACTGATTCGTATTTTTGGCCTCCTTCTGGAAGAAAAAAAAATAATTAAATGTGTTAAGCAGAGGACCCAGTCTTCTTTACAAACACTTGCTTATGCATGACTCGTAATGACATTTTTGAACTTGCGCAATGAGAATTTGTTAGATTTTTTGAAAGATACTGGGCCTGATCCTGTTAACACTGAATTCAATGGCTGGAAAATTGTTCTTATTCTAATAATAATGAAAATTATCCATTATATTACTGTAGTTAATAGTTTTGTTAATTCTGATGTTGAACAGATTCTCAGAGTAAAGGGTTAAATGTTGCTTTAGCAAGACATAGTGTTGAGCAACCTCACAACAATATGTGCTTTCCATTATGGTAAGGCATTCTTGTAGATAAGTTAGGTGGGAAAATTGTTTTAACTCTCTTAGGAACTTGTTCCTAAACCTTAATTTAAACTATAATTTTTTGTCGAGGAAAGTTAAATGTTTGCATACAGTTTGGGACCCGTCACTACTATTTCTACCTTTTCTGTTACCCTTAAGCATATCTGTTCCCTTTCAACATTTCATTCTGTTTCAGTTTTTACTGTGACTACATACCTTTTCAGTGTCATGTTCTTGTTTGCAATCTTTTTCTTTATTCCACAGCGCTTTCCCTGTTCATCCCCAGTCGCTTCACCTGTTGCTCACTTTCAACTCCTAGTCACGACTTCACATTTCTTGCACTTTTTGTCATAGAAAGGTCATTGGTGACAAGTAGGAGCAGTTTTTGCCAAATGGTATCTAAAGAGAAAAGTGATGATTTAGTAAAATTGGCTTTTTCGTCTTTGTTTATGTCTAGAAAAAGGTTACTTCTCCTTTGCAGGTGTTTTTCTGTGAAGTACAGAAATTTGTGTGGCTGTTCAGTCAATGTTTATAGCCAGCTGCCTGTGATCAAGTCTAATGGAGCAAGAATTGTTCTGCATACTCAGTGAACCACTTTTCCAACTGCTTACACTTTTCTGTTATAGAGAAGAACACACATTGATAAGCAATCTTCTTGTCCGTGATTGGATGGGGAAGGAGGAATTGCTCCTAAGATCCATGTCCCTTCCACCATGAAGAGTTAGTGCTAACATTTACAGAATGTGCTTGTGGTCTCACATCTCCCATACAGCTCTCCATTTTGTCAGATGTTGTAGCCTTTGCCTTAAAATGGATTTCCAAAGTTACTCTGTTCACCTACCACTACTGCCATTAACTGGTGGCAGCAATCAACAGCCTCTGTTCAGACAGAGGTGCACAGGCAAAAGAGAAGACGTTTTGCCTCCCACTTTCCTTTATGTGTACCGCAAATGGTTCTCATAGTTGAGCTTGGGAACTCCAGCCCTATGATGTGATGGGTTATTTCTGCATGAGTCTCAGCGTTTGAAAGCTGAAAAGTGTGAGACCTTGCTAGCGGGTACTCCAACCGTCTGAGTCAGGATTACTGTATATCATCTCAAGCATTTGATTTTCCCAGTCAGTGAAAGTGTTTAAACAGTGTTTTCATGTTGAGAAATGGCAAAGTGCCAGTGCCTCAAGATTCTTCTGGTAATGCATTGAAACCTGCTGAAGGTAAACTCGGATATAATGGCCCATGATTGATACAGTTCATGAAAATCCTCATTCTCTTGTGTCTTAATGTGTATATTTTTGTCTTGATTGCGGAGAACCTTCCTAAGAACTGTCACTGTAGGGTTGTTTGTTTTTTTTTCTGTTCAGTGTTCATTTCTTAAAGCAAAGGTTGGATAAACTTCAGTCTGCACACCCAAGGCTGCTGTTAGTCAGTACAGTGCTGTAAGTTACATAAGCATTAATGTCCAAAGTTAGGTATAGTTGAATATGCATACCTCTGTACTCTTTTTTTAATTAGAACATGACCATTAGTTTATTATAGAAAGCTGAAAGCCTTGTACTAAATGAAAAGTTGAAGTAAATTCATGAATGAATACATCTTGCTGTATAATATTTTTGTTTCAGTAAATTTCAAAGTATGTGTATATCTGCATTTTTCATTTTTGTTTGTCATGTTGTCAGAGAACCTAGTGTATGATATAGGGTTATCATACACTATATTTATAAATATTCCTGATAGTACAAAATTGGTTCCAAATGAATCTCAGGTTTTGACATTGATATTTTAAACTATGATTCAGCAAGGAGATATCAATGGCTAGAAGTTTGTATCTGTGCAAAGTTCAGTTGGTTTCAGGGAAATTGTATAAGAATCTATCTACTCAGAACCCTTTGTAGTATCTGAGTGCCTATAGTTTGTTATTGTTTTCCCCCTTATTTTATGTATCAACAATTAACTCAGTTTTCAACTAAGTTCATTGGTACAGGTAAGCCATTTTGAAATAAGAAACAGTTGATGAACTGTAATTGTAAACGACAGTACTCGTTGACGTCTCATGTAAAGCTTGTGAGACGAGATTTCGTTCTGGGAAACTAATTGGTGAACAGTTAAAATAAATGGATTGCATAAACTTATTCTAGTAGCACTCTTTTTTGCATTTTTAATGTAGTATTCAAGAAAAGCAGGTAGGATACATTTTAACTTACAACCTCAAAGACAATAAAGGTAATTGGAATCCATTTGGGGGGAGGGGAAGGTGGGGTTGCCAGGATAATGAAACAAAAAAGCATTGACAAATATGTAGTCAACATACATCTTGTACTTCTTAATGTTAATGTAGAAGTAGTTTCAAATACCTATGGTTTCTCAAAGTTAGGAGCGCTGAAATAAGGACCACAGAGCTGTGTGTTTGATTAGTGATACAGTCTTGAATAAATATTTTTAAAATCTGGTTAACAGAACTGCTTGCAGTCGGAAAAACTATTGAGGTTATTTCAAAGATGTCAAGTGTATACCGAAGTAAAATATTACTTTATTATTACACATACTGTTTCATTACTACTACTAGTTTTTCAATATTGCAGAGTATCTGTGATGCTTTGTTGCAAATTACGTGCTGCTCTTGTGTTGTTGGAAACTGACAGTATGGTCTTCAAGTGGGTAGAGATTGGAACAGTATCTACAGTATTTTGTTGTTATTTGTCATATGGATGACAACAAGAATGCAGTAATTTGTCAGAACCTGTTCATGTGGGTGATGAACAAGAAAATTAATGAAAAAGCCCCATTAGTGTTTGCTTGAAGTGCGATAGCTAGGAAATAAAAAGTGTCCAGATACAACAAAACACTTGAATATGAAAAATTTGACTTTTCAGATTAATTGCATGAAACTTTATGTTGACATAGTGCAGAATAGTGAACTGATTTATACTTTGTCTTTCAGATGAACCAGAGACACGAGATGCATGGTGGGCAGAAATCAGACAAGAAATAAAATCCCATGCCAAGGCATTGGGTTGTCATGCTGTAGTGGGCTACAGTGAATCAACTAGCATTTGGTAAATCATGATGATGATTTGATTTTCAAAATGCCACAGAAAGTTTATTTCATCTTCAGTGGATTAAAAATGATGAACTATTTCAACACAGTTGTTGGTACTGTGTAGTATACCTTCTTTGGACAGTTTGTTAACTTTCTGAGATATCACTATTGTGCTGCTTTTTTTTTTTTTAATATGTTTTGGTTTGGGTTTTCATTGGGTTTTAAGATTTTTCTAATGAATGTTACAATTTTTACTTAAAAAAAATTTCAAACCTACATATTTGCTTTTGGAGTAACAACATTAATTTATGAAGTTTTCTAAACCTAATCTACCTAAATAGTTAAGACTTTTCCTAAAAGTGTATGTATTGCAGTTTCATTATTGGGTAACAACTGGCAGACCAGTACTTAAATGGTAAACCTCAAACTTAAGTAACAAGTTCTTTACTAGGAATATATTAATTGTAAGTTAAAGGAGAATATGCTGCCTGATAGATCTAGAATACTTTAGGTGTGAACGTTCTGTATTTCTTTCTGGAAAATGCATGTCACTATTTTTATCTTTCAGTACTACAGTAGTGTTTAACATATTAAAGTGCAGCTGTGCAGTAGTCTTTCTGAGGTTGGATTCCCCAGCTCTGCATCCTATTCAGGCCAAAACTCCAGTGTCTTACTGTATTCCCTTTGGCTAAGAAAATTCCAATCTTGTGTATTTTGGTGGCTTAATAACAAACTTTGTGAGAGGCTTGGAGATTGGGAGAAATAATTTGGGATTCATCTAATTACTCGTCCTTCTCTCTGGCCCGGGAAAGGTTGTGTCTCTTTCTAGCTCCAGAAAGTAATCTATGAAGAGCTCTTCCTGGGGCCAAGTATGTCTGACAGAAAAGTGCTCTGGTTCACTAGTTGTTTTGAATTGCTTTAGGAAAGTAACTGAAGCAAACTCTGACATCTGAATTTATTTTCTGTCAAGTTGATTTTGCCTAAATACTTCAAAGAAAAAGCACTAAAGATTTCCTTTTTTAAAGAGAGAAGTTGGAAAAAGAAGTTTCGTTTTACTCTGCAGTTGATAAGTTGAAGAAAGAAATAGAGTTACACAGTGCTTTCATGAGTGCACACCATCTGTTGGTAAAGTAGTAAGATAACCAGAAATTACCAGTCTGAAAGCCATGGCATTGATTGCTTCACATCTGTTGCTCCTTCACATTTATTGCTTCACTGCAGGTAGAAGGAAAAAAAACAACCACCAGATATATTGATCTTTCACAAAACTTGAAAACAATTTTTGGAAGTCGAGTGCTTGTGCTAGTAGAGTAGGAAAACAGGAGAACTTACTTTACAGACGAGGCATGGTTTGTATTCCTTATGCTGTCTGGTCTGGTTATGTCTTGTCTTGCTTGGTGTGTTAAAGACCATATTTACCTCAGAATTGCAATGTGCAAGTTCCCATCGCTGAGGGATGAACTTCCACTAAAAATGGAAGATTTATTCCTTTGCCTGTCAGTCTCCTTGTAAAAAGCATGAATATATATATTTTTTTTTTCTCCCTACCTTAACTATGAGGAAACAATGTACAGAGTGTAGATAGGCAGTCAGTTGTTGGGTTATTTCACACTTTCATTTTTCTTAAGGAATTTAATATGGTAGTATTTGATCATTGATACAATAGTGTATTAAAGTTCCCATGCTTACTTCCCAGTTCAGCTTTATTCCATGCTTAAAGAGCAAGGCTCTGTCTGTAAGTACTGGTCTGCCAGACATGTTATGTATGAAAAATTATTCTGGAAAGAGAAACAACAAATAAAAAAGGCACATGTATCATTTCTAGAAATGTGGGAAAGCTTTTCTCTGTATTTTTTCCAATATGGTATTTTAAGTACTGAATGTTAGAGATTTGTTTCTGATGTAACAATTTCAGAAATATTAAAAGCTCTGTGATCATAGGCACTTTGAGAGCTTTAAATCTGCTAAATCATGAATATGGTCAGTTACTTTACATGCTAAATGTACCATTATTGTAGTTGTTCTTAGTCAAATTTTACTGTTTTGCTACTTTTTATCCTCCAAGAAGCACCCTTGTCAGTGTTGTGTTGTAACTTCATTTTGAGAGTGAATGTTTATAAGATGATGAGGCTCTCAACTTCCATTTTACTTTGGTAAACAATTACGCCTTGTTTTTTTTAATGTTTCTTTGCTTTTGTTGCTTGGCTGGATTTCTTTGCATTATTAACCATAGTATTGAAAATCATACTTAAACCTGGTTAGCCCTTGTGATGTTACAGCATATTATTTATAACGCAGGGCAAAGCTCTTTAGTCTTTCCATTCAATCCTTCTGCATCTCTTGCTTATACAATGGTTTAAATACCAGAAAAGGATTGTTTGTGAGATTTAATGGATAAAATTGCACAAATGCACAAAATTAGTAGTTGTATTGAATTAATTGAGACTTTTGTACCAGCCTTTTAATCTTAATAGTTTTAAGTAAAAGTAGCATTAAGTAGTAGGAATTCACTTTGTTGTAATTCTTTTCTCTTATAGTGAAGAGGTCTGTATTTTGTCCGCGTCTGGCACAGCAGCTGTACTGAACCCTAGGTTTCTTCAGGATGGCACCATGGAAGGCTGTTTGGAACAAAGGTTGTCATGGCAGCCTGGCTTCTTTTCCATAGGGTCAGAGAAGGGAGAGGTTGATTTTTTTCCTCAGAGCCAAGATAGTTCTTCTCTATTAGGGTAGGTTACAGTGTTACAGTGCAGGATGCGGGACCAACCACTTTACTGCTTTTCACTAACAACAACAACAACAGAAGTAATGGAACTCTGCACCAAATTAGATATTCTGTTTTTATTTCTAACAGTCTGAATAAGGTAACACATTTGACTACTAACCACAGATCATAACTCAGTTTTTTTCTTTGCCGCTCTTCAGGTATCTTTCTCAACTCTATATCACACTATAAAAAACGACAGATGTATGATAAATTATGTAAGCCAAAAACTGCTGTGGCTGTAATATGTGTATATATGCTCTCTATATACTATTTAAAAGCTGTATGGGAGGTAAAATAGCTTGGTTGTAAAAAAAAGATGGTGCCAGATTTTTATGAAAGATGTATGTTTTAGTTGACGTTTATGAACAAAGTCACAAAACTGAAAGAAAAACATGAAGTTTCCCTTTGTTTCTACTCTTGCAAATAAAATTTGAAGAATGAGTATTGACAAACAGTTATTTTGAGGAAAAAATAATTAGATTAACTAATGCATATTGGTAATTTATTATGTGTTCATCAGGATAGTCATCAAATACTTCAAGGGATTATTGTAGTCGTAAGTAAGGCTATTTATTACACCTTAGCACTTGCATTACTTTTTCCATAATAACCCTGCCAACATAGAATTATTTATTATTTTTCTACTTTGTTAGCAGGAGGCCATTATCTTCTCGTGTAGATAGACCTTTGAAAACTGTAGCCAGAACAAAAATATTTGTTTCCGTATTCACTGTATGATGGAGAGAAAGAAATATCATGTTTATTATACGAAGAGAATTGCATTTTTACCAAAATATGTATTTCAGTGCTACTAAGAGTCTTGGCAAAGATTAGAAATACCAAAGGAAGGTAAAACAACTAAACAGACAAAGCCCATGTTTGAGACAAAATATGATAACTTACGAACAACAATATTTGTTTCCGTATTCACTGTATGATGGAGAGAAAGAAATATCATGTTTATTATACGAAGAGAATTGCATTTTTACCAAAATATGTATTTCAGTGCTACTAAGAGTCTTGGCAAAGATTAGAAATACCAAAGGAAGGTAAAACAACTAAACAGACAAAGCCCATGTTTGAGACAAAATATGATAACTTACGCTCTAAATCTGTCACATTTGCTTAACATCTCTTCAAAATTCACTGAGAAGAATTGTTTATGTGAAACAATAAATTTGCAGTGATGCAGTTAGCCTGTGCTTTCCTTGTTCGTATTTTTATAGTGGTCATTCCTGGATATCTTATGGGGGAGTGGGACTACGTGTTCTAAATGAATAACGAGTTTACCTAATACCTTATCTTAGGAAATTATCTTGCTGTTCTTCTTACAATGTTAATATATATTGTGCTGCTTCTCAGTGGGATGGTTGGTTTGTTGTTTATGTTCTGCTCATTAGGTTTGTGTAGGTTTTTGGACACAATCCATGTAAAAGAGACTTTTCATTGTATTTGGTACAGCAAATTCACTGTACAACTCTTGTACCATGGACTACATTTAGAAATCATAGTGCCTAAAGCCAGCTCAGTAATGTTTTAGGTTTATATAAGTCATTGGTCATTGTATGTACTTTTTCTTGATCCCTGCATAACAAGTTTCAATGCAAGTTTTATTTATAGCATTTTAGCTAGTAGCGTGCAGCCTAATTTTATTCTTCTAATTCATAAAATGCAATACTTGTCACATTGGTATAATGGAGCAGAGTATAGCTGCAGTGTATGATTTAAGTAGGTATCTGTAGGTGTTTATACACATGTGCACATATTGATCATTGTTAATAAGATGCAGATGTTTTAAGTATGTTCTCCATAATGTATTTTTAGGATTGAAGAAGCTTCACCACCAGGTTGTGGATTTTGCCATATACCATATGATGAATTGAACATGCCGTTCCCTGCTCACCTCACTTACTGTTACAACTGCAGGAAGCAAAAAGTTCCTGATGTCCTTTTCACCACAATTGATCTTCCTGTAGAGGCAATAGTTATTGGGAAGGGATGTCTTATTCAAGCCAGGTATCTATCAAAATGGTTTTTTTAGTGAAGTTTTGGAGATCTTTGAAAGAGTTCCTGTTGCTAAAATCCCGTATGTCATCAAACCTTAAGTTTTTATGTTGAATTGCTAGGAGTTAATGACAGTGCATTAGGGTACGGGAGGAGGAGGACAGCCTTCTCCTCCCCATGTTACGTGTCTTGTCTGTTGATGGACATCTGGTAACTTACCATGTTGATGGACATCTGGTAAATGTTCTGCCTTTTTTTTTTTTTTTTAATACCTATGGGGATTGTTGTATTTTGTCTGCCTGGATGTAAGAGTTTTCATGATTTAACTTGCTGTTTGGGGCTGCTAACGTGGTCAGATACAGCTATGGCACTGGAAAGTCAATGAACTGTTTGAATCAGTTGTGTTAATTCTGTACCAATGTCCGTAACTGAACATCATCTCTGTAGAATTGTTGGCTATGTCCAGTTTATGCTGTGGTCTTCGAATTTGAATTTGGAAAAGGGAATAAGGTGGTTTACAGTGGGAAAGAAGGAAGGGTTAGCTATGTACAGTCTGTATGGGTGGCCAACTACATGAATAAATAACTGGTTGGATGGTTGGGCTGAGAGGGTAGTGGTTTATGGTTCGTGACCCACCTGGATGGCCATTACAAGTATGATGGAGACTGCAGTGTGACCTGTCTTGTTGAACACCTTAATGATGTGGAGGGGATGATGGACTGCATTCTCTTCAAATGTGCCAGTTACACCACAATGAGTGGGACCAGACAATATGATACCTGTCCGGTTTTGTCCTCCTCTGAGAGTAAGAGAGACATCAGAAAACTAGAGCAAGTTCAGTGGAGGGCCACCAAGGGAGTAAGGAGCACCTGCCCTATGAATAGAAGCTGCGGGTGCTGGACTCTCTCAGTTTTGAGAGAGGAAGGATTCAGGGGGACCTAATAGCAGCCTGCCAGTACCTGTAAGGAGGTTACGGAGCATATGTAGCCAGGGTCTTCACAGTGCTGCGCAGTGGGAGAGTGAGAGACAATGGGCCTAAGTTGAAGCAGGAGAGATTCAGAGTGGATATAAGGAAAAACTACTTACCCATGAGGACAATCAGGCAGTGGAGCAGATTGCCTAGGAGGTTGTGCAGTCTCTATCTTTGGGGAGTTTTCAAGACCTGACTGGATAAAGCTCTGAGCATCCTGGTCCAAGCTCAGAGTTGACCCTGCATTGTCTGTACAGGAGGTTGGACTGGAGACCTCCTGAGGTCCCTTCTCACCTGAGATTTTTTTGTGATCCTATGATTATCATTCTCCGATTTCTGCTAGAGCAAAATTACTGGAGCCACTGTAGAGATGTGTTCTGTGCTCCTCCTTTGGTATTTTCTGTATTATCAAACTCTGTGTTCAGCACCATTGTGGAAATTGACTTCTAGTGTCACACAGTGGTCCCCGATCTGTGTCTGGAGAAGTCAATGAACTGTTTGAATCAGTTGTGTTAATTCTGTACCAATGTCCGTAACTGAACATCATCTCTGTAGAATTGTTGGCTATGTCCAGTTTATGCTGTGGTCTTCGAATTTGAATTTGGAAAAGGGAATAAGGTGGTTTACAGTGGGAAAGAAGGAAGGGTTAGCTATGTACAGTCTGTATGGGTGGCCAACTACATGAATAAATAACTGGTTGGATGGTTGGGCTGAGAGGGTAGTGGTTTATGGTTCGTGACCCACCTGGATGGCCATTACAAGTATGATGGAGACTGCAGTGTGACCTGTCTTGTTGAACACCTTAATGATGTGGAGGGGATGATGGACTGCATTCTCTTCAAATGTGCCAGTTACACCACAATGAGTGGGACCAGACAATATGATACCTGTCCGGTTTTGTCCTCCTCTGAGAGTAAGAGAGACATCAGAAAACTAGAGCAAGTTCAGTGGAGGGCCACCAAGGGAGTAAGGAGCACCTGCCCTATGAATAGAAGCTGCGGGTGCTGGACTCTCTCAGTTTTGAGAGAGGAAGGATTCAGGGGGACCTAATAGCAGCCTGCCAGTACCTGTAAGGAGGTTACAGAGCATATGTAGCCAGGGTCTTCACAGTGCTGCGCAGTGGGAGAGTGAGAGACAATGGGCCTAAGTTGAAGCAGGAGAGATTCAGAGTGGATATAAGGAAAAACTACTTACCCATGAGGACAATCAGGCAGTGGAGCAGATTGCCTAGGAGGTTGTGCAGTCTCTATCTTTGGGGAGTTTTCAAGACCTGACTGGATAAAGCTCTGAGCATCCTGGTCCAAGCTCAGAGTTGACCCTGCATTGTCTGTACAGGAGGTTGGACTGGAGACCTCCTGAGGTCCCTTCTCACCTGAGATTTTTTTGTGATCCTATGATTATCATTCTCCGATTTCTGCTAGAGCAAAATTACTGGAGCCACTGTAGAGATGTGTTCTGTGCTCCTCCTTTGGTATTTTCTGTATTATCAAACTCTGTGTTCAGCACCATTGTGGAAATTGACTTCTAGTGTCACACAGTGGTCCCCGATCTGTGTCTGGAGCACCTGCAGATGTCCCATTTTCTGTAGAATGATTCCTTAAACATTCCCACCCCCCAAAAAAAAAATGAAAAAAGAAAGACCTGAATCTGTAGTTAGAAAGATTTTGAGGTGAACTTGTTATGATTGGGTGAATTACTGTGTTTTCCTGATCATGTAATAAATGTGGTCCTTAGAAGAAAGCATCATCTGTTCATATCACTAAAACATAGAATTGTCATGTGCTCTTTTTGAATGAAAATTTGTCACTGAAAGTAGGCAGTCATTACACTGGTGTAGGGTTTGAATTTCAGCTTATGGGACTAAACCCAAAGAGTGGAATATGACTAACATAATATAGTCAGAGATGGGATTTCTGTGCTCTTTCTTTTATTCTTTTAAGATAAGTGTTTTTAGTCTGGTTAATACTTGAGCTGTGAGGGCACTTGTTTTTTTCTTTATTCTGAAGTGTGCCTTGAAGAACTTGTATTAATAGGAATTTTAAAAGTTCTACCAATGGATGTAATTTCCTGTGCTTGTACCTGAAGTGTTTAAGAGGTTTGCAGCAACAGAAACAGATGTTTGCATGTGGGGTCTTACTAGAAGAAAAGCTGAAAATACAGATTTTCAGATAAGACAGTCTCGAGTTCTTGTAAAGAACTGACAGTATTTTACAGTTGTGGCAATCTAGAAGAATACAACTCATCAGTTCTGAGGCTCAATTGAAAAGGGCCACAGTAACTTTCCCTTGAAATAATCTATTTTTGTGGGGGGGTGTTTAACAAATACCAGACAATTTGCAATAACAGAGAAGTTGTGTTTGTCTTCAGTATTTGCTTGACAAAAGTGAGCAGGGCAAATTTTTAACAGTTGCTTCTATATGATAGGAGTGTTAATATATTTAGCCAAACATCTAGTAGATGGTTATCTGGAATCTGTAGAAAACTTCTTTACGTTGCATAGTTACTCAGTGCTGTCAGACTATTATGACAAAAACCCTGTGTGATGCATGTTGTTTCTGTCTGATAACAGTCCTTAAGCATGTTTTAAGAAAGGAGACGCGACTTCATTCAGTGATTTATGAAAATACAGTATTTGTAATTTTTGTATTCTGCTTTGATAGGGAATATTTTTGAATGTTGCTGAAGGTTATGTATTGTTCTGTTTTAAAAAGTAAACTTATGTATTACCCATTTTAATTGTTAATATAAATATAAGGTTTCCTATTAAAAATGAAAATCAAATCTTACTTATGGAGACTCGGTGCCTTAGTCTGCCTTGATCATCTTGATAAGAACTTAATATTTTGCAGAATTTTAAAATACATTAAAAAGAAACTGATTGTATTAGGTTATACAATGAGGAAAAAAAATGAAAATACCCTGTGATCACTTTCAGTCTTCAACAGTCCATTAAAACTGTCTATCTGCTGATGTCATGTACTGTTCTGTATTGTCAGGTTATGCCGTCTAAAGAAGAAAGCTCAAGCTGAAGCAAATGCGACATCTATCAGTAATCTCTTGCCATTTATGGAATATGAAGTGCACACGCAACTGATGAATAAACTTAAGCTGAGAGGAATGAACGCTCTGTTTGGGCTGAGAATTCAGATCACTGTGGGTGAAAATATGCTGATGGGGTTGGCAGTAAGTACAGTTTTAAACTTGGGATTCTTTTGCTTTCTTACAGTATTTTTTCAGGACACAGACATACAAGTGTTGGAATTCAGAGTAACTAGAGATTAAATGTCATTTTAAGAATAAATGAAGTGGTAGAAAGGAATGAGGTGTCTAATTGTTGACAAATCAGGACAGACTGTCTTTCAGCACCAGAAAAAGATTTTAATCTCTTGAAACTGTTAGAGGACAAGGTTACTAGAAAAGGGGATGAGAGGAGAAGAAACTTTAAATGGTTTAATGGCATAAATTATAGAAAAATGATTGTATTCTTTAAAGGTCCTGTTAAAGAGATACCGGTCTCAAGTTGCATTACAGTTCCATGACAAATAAGGTCAATTAAGTCTCTCAATAAATCTTTTGGTTAGTTGCCAACAAGAGAAAGGTCTGTTGCCTCGTCTTTGATGGCACTGAAGAAATAAATGATAGATTGGAAGTGTCTTAGAGATAGTCAAGAAATGTTCTTTAACAGTATTTTCTGACCTCATTCTGTCATGTGGGTTTAGAAAAGTGAAGTATGCTGCTGCTTCATGCGTCAGTGTAAGAGGATGCTTGGGTAATATTGACTGGCTTGCATGTTCTTTTGTCTGAACTGATGATCTGTTTTCTGTAAAAAAAAAAAAAGGGATTCTCACAACTTCAGTGATACTGTAAATGGTTTGGCCAAGTTTTAAATCCTTGAAACCATCACTTGCCTATGCAAAATATACTAGGGCAGAGGTTTTAATTCATACATTGTTTGGAACTTTTAGGTAAGTTAAGAGCTCCACCATGGAAAAGACCTATGAGAAGGAGAGAGTTTATTAAAAGAATAGCAGTTATTTTCATAAGTGAACAGGAGAGATCCATTTATTATGGGAAGAGATCATGCTGTATGTACATGTCACAATGCTGTCCATTATAGCATAAGCATTATGGAAAACTTTAAATGAAAATACTAAAGTACATGCTTGTGTAATTGTCATTTTTCTTAATGACTTTTAAAAAGTCTGCAACAGGTGTGTATCTAGCAGCTTTGCCAACACCTGGTGGTATTCAGATTGCTGGGAAGACTCCAAATGATGGCACCTATGAGCAGCATGTATCTCACATGCAAAAGAAAATAAATGATACAATAGCCAAAAACAAGGAACTTTATGAGATTAATCCTCCAGTAAGTAAAGCTTTTATATTCTTAAAAATAAAGTATTCTGAGTGAAACAGAGATACACCATGTATATCCCTGAATCTTATTGACTGAATCATTTAGAACATAAGTTGTTTTTTAATAGAGATACAGATTCTTTTCACTATATTTTAGGAACCTACTGGAATTTTCAGATCTCAAGTCACATATCCAAATCAGTTTGTACTTATTTAGCTTTATTTCTCAGTAAAATTATTTTCAGAATGTTCTCACTCTTAGAACTGTTAACAAATTGCTTATAATTGAAATTATTTCTAAGCTACATAGAACAACTGTTAATTTTTATATCCTTTTTAGGAGCTACCTGAAGAAATCATTGGGTCTCCCATTCCAGAGCCAAGACAACGTTCCAGGTTATTAAGATCTCAATCAGAAAGCTCTGATGAAGTTACAGAGCTAGACCTTTCACATGGGAAGAAGGATGCTTTTGTCTTGGAGGTGATAAATGTTTTCAATACTCATTTTCATACTCCTCTTTTCCTGAAATACATATAAAAAACCAGAGAAAAGTTTTCTTACTCATCTCCAAAGACATCTTAAATTGTACATAATTTTTTTCCATTTTGTATCAGTAGAAGATGTTAAGTATTGGATTTTGCATTGTGTCTCTTTTTCTTAGCTATGCTTTAAGCAAATAGAATATATTACACCTAGGGACAATATCTGAAAAAAGATTGCCCTGCTATTCATGAACACGTAGCAATATCTAGAATAATAACTAAGAGCTTTTAAGAAATGCCCTTCTGCCTACTTCAAGCAGCAGTCATGACTGATCCAAAACTTAGATATATTTCTATAAACATTGAGGTTCTGTGTTGTCGCACTTTGTATTTAGCAAAAAAGCTTGTATATTTTTCCCGTTTCAAAGCTCTTCGGTTGGATATTCAGAATTACTAGTTTCCAGAACTGGTAATATTCAAAGCATTCAAAAAAACGCATGTGTTGAGAGCACATAAAAGAAGACTTGCTTTCCTAAATTTCAGCTGATGCTTTTCAGAGTTCAAGAATTTAAAACTTCAGAGAATACCTTCCAATTCTTTTTACAGCTACAACTAGAAACAAGAACAACACCTATAGATAAAGAACATAGATTTCTTTTACCTCTCTATTCACTAAAATTCAAAGATGTGATTTTAACACTGTACAAGTTTGAAAGAAAGGAGCCAAGTACTAAAGAGGCTAGAGTTTTGATCATCTTCTTGTAGATACAGGTATTACAAATACCTGTCCTAGACTAAGAAAAAGAAAACAATTTAACTAAATTACAGCCTGAGGTACATTCAAGACTTTCTTTTATGTTAATCTTCACAAATAACCTTCTTAATAGAAAATAATCTGGAAGAAAGGTTGTAGATAGGGAGAATGAGAGCACGCTGTAATAACAGCAGTTCATTTGAAAACAGAGGTAAGAAAGGAGAGTGAAAAAATAACAGGTTGGGAGAGGTTGGTATAATAAATTGAGATTGGTTGGTGCATCTGCTCTTTGAGTAAATTTTTGCTCTCCAGCGTATTACAGGTATACTAGGATCAAAGTGAGTAAATTGGGAAGTCCCTAAAAGGACTTTTGATGCTAGTTAACTCTCACATTAAAAAGAAACGAAGACAGTTTTCATCAAGAATTTTTTTGCAGCTGGTCTTAACAGGTTTTTGTTTTAATATCATCATCTGTGTAGACTGACAGGATTGGAATTGGAATTGTATCCTCAAAACAAAACTTATGATAGATGCTCTCTGAGGCACGGTATTGAAATGGATGAGCCAATCAGAAAATACTTTGATAAATGCAAAAAGGATCGAATGCCTTTGTAAAAAATAGAGGATTGTGTGAGGCATTAAAAAAAACCCCAACCCAAAGACTGTTATACTGCAAGAGACCCTTTGGACAAGTTATGAAAAATACCAGAAAAACATAATTTCACTTCTAAAGGCTGTGAAATAGAAGAGAGGTAGCAATAATAAAAGCTTGGCATACTACTTCTGTCCAGTTGCCTCATAAAGAAGCTTGATATGTTAAAAGCAAAGATCAGCTGGTTAAGGACTGCATTATATACTGCAAGCAGAGTTCAGCTCTTTTTTTTACAGTTTTGGAGAATTCTTCCTTTTACCTTATTTATTAACTGTAGTATATGCACTTGGGGGGATAAGAGGAGATCTCCATGAGGAAGGGAAAAATGTAAGTACACTGTAGTGTACTATAGAGTACATTATAAATGGTACTAAACTTAGCAAGACAAATAAGATCTGATGTTTAAGGACCGTCATTTACTGGTTTACATTACGTGAATGTATTGGTCCTAGAATATGTGTTCCTGTGTTTTGGTAGTTCAATCTTTATTTATAGAAAAAAGGACTTTTCAGCTGTGGAACCACTTACTACTGTCTTTGTTATGAAATTGGGTATCAGAAACAATATTCCAGGAGCTTTAGTGAAGCTCCTGACTCTGACCTTTCAAGAGTAAAATCATTGTTCACTGGAAATATGTAAGAAAAAGTGGTAAAAAATCCACTGTGATGAGGAAATGCTAAGAGGTGCTGAGAAGGCAGTTATGAGAGGTAAGGCTGTCTTCTTTTTTTGAGGAAGAAAGAGACTCCTCTTATTTTGAGAGGGAGAAGGGGAAACAATACATGACAGAGAACCCTTTAATACCGCAGTTAAAATATAACCAGTTTCCAAAATGCTTGATAAGAAAATGTTGGAAGTTAGAGGTAAACTTGGATCTCTTGCAGATCAATAGGGCAAAATGAACCTAAAGAAAAATGACACAGAAATATTTACAGAAGGTAGCAGGGCAGATATGCTCTCAGTCTGATCTAAAATAACAAAAGTCTTTTAAGATTGGATGGAGTAGAGGTTATTTGGATAGGAAAAACTCATAATCCCCAAATTTACGTTTTCCTATTTGATTTTCTGCTGTTCATACTAAGCAAGGTTTTTAAAGTCCTGGAAAGATTTTTGTGTCATTGGAATAGGCAGAGAATGATCACATCAATATAATACAGACCTGGAGCTCTAGTAGCCAAAGGTCGTTAGCTGGAAAAAGTTGGAAGTGTTTGTGTGGAACCTTGTTCAGCATTTTAAATTGTTTTAAAAAGTCTCTTTTTATCATTCTTGTCTTATCTACTGCAGTTTCTCTGTTTTCTTTGCACATTGCTTTATTTTTAATACAATTTAATTAAGAGTACTATTTTTCAAGTGTTAAGCATATCATAGGCTGCTAGTTAAGATTCAGAGGACTGGTTGATGGAATCCTTTTTAAAAATCTCAACTTAGCTGCCAGATACAGATCTCTTGATGACAAAGTTCTTGCATCTTTCTGAGACTTCTGACTGGAACAGCACCATGACTTTTATCAGTTATTCCTTTTTCTAGATTGATGATACAGATGCAATGGAAGATGTACATTCTCTACTGACAGATGTTCCACCACCTTCTGGTATAGTTAAAAACATATTTTTCTAATTTATACTGTAGGCTGCAAAATGACAAAATAGAACTGTTTTTATTAAAAAAAAAAAAAGTTCAAGAGTAACAGTGAAGTGTTTAACTTGTCAGATATACCTGTGAAAAACAAGTCATTAAGCCTTTTATGGGGATTGTTGCTTATTGAAAACTGGAATAAACACAGTATTTGTGTGGCATTTTGTAGTTCACTGATTTGTACTGTTGCAAATTTGTTGTTACTTCATATGGGTATAACAATTGGACCTTTTCTACTAGTATACCAGTTTCTGAAGATTTTTAGACTGAATGGCTAATTTGTAGGTTTCAGGGTCAATGAAAGTAAAGTACAGAGAATAGAATGTTCTTTAAGTATTTGTAGCCATATAATGTGACATACTGGTGTTTTATTCCAAGAATGTTATTTAAAGTGAGCAATTTACCCTTACAGCACTCTTGTTCAACAAGTGCATTTGTATTTTCCTTGCTTTGTGATTGTGCCATGCTATCAATTTAAGTCTTTGTGTTCACTGCATTTGTAGTCTTTGCTGTTAAAAAAAGCAAGTCCAAAATGATTTGCAATTCTTAAATCACCCACAGCATTTTTATCCAAGTTAGCATTGGTCATTTTCTGTAGAAGGCAGTAAAGTCAAGTAATAGAAATAGAGTGTTTTCTAATTTCTTTGGTGCTTTTTATAGATGTATTTTTAGAAAGTGTTGCAACTCGAGAACATAAAACTGGTTAAAGTGAATAATTTTCAAAATTCAATCATGAGACTTGAAATCGATGTCTTTTTACTTCACAGTACGAATACGAATGTTGGGGCTGCATTGCTGGCAATAGAACTTTGTGAGGTGTCCATTTAGTTGCCTGCATTTAAAAATTATTTAAGAACCCACCATAGGGGGAGGTGTACTGAGTCATTCAATGTCTGCTTGCTGATAGGGATCAGGTGAGAATGCGTATTGCATTAATGTAAAAGCAATGAAAAAAAAAATGCCACAGAATAGTGTTCATAGTTCAACAGCATCCTGAAAGAACGTTACTGTCTTTGTAAACAGTAGCCTTTGTAAAACTTTTCTGTGCATTTGGCTGTTTGCATTTTGAGCCCATGTGTGCCTTCAGTGTTCGTAGAATTTTGCATCAGGATCTGTACCCATGTAAGAGCCGGCTTCTTACGCTTGGTTTGTATCAGCCACTAACTTTCTTTGGTTTTTCCTTTTTCTTATATTGGGAAGAACAGCGAAGCATTGCTTTGTATCAGTCTTCTTTATGCTATTTGTGGTTGTATAGATATCATTCATATCCTCCTCGATGGAACTTCTGGATCTGGATAAGGGGCTAACGTAGTTGTCCATTATATGGAAGTTGCTCTGTACCTTTGGTTGTCCTTGTCCTCCCTCTCTTACTTTTGTGAGTTTCCCCATGTTTCTTCTGAGCACATATCTGTTCCCTTCCTAATAATTGGTATCAGTTTTTATAATTTTCAGTACTGTTGAGCTCAGAACTATCCTTGTCATAATTATGTATTATTACCACCAAATCTTTTATTCCTCATCGATTATCCATGGTTAGGTCCTGCTGCAGTTGATTTTACTACTCTAAAATAAGGCCATCAGCAGTCACCTTATTTTATCCTCTTTTGCGGATAAGTTACGAATATGTTTGAAGCATACAATCCTGAGTTACAGATGTCTCCACTGTGAAAAGTGAACATTTATTTTGACCCTCTCTTTACAGTCTTACAATAATTGTATTTCCTTCAATGGTACTCCATTCTACCCCTCAGCATATTAGTTTCTTAAAGAGTCTTGGTGAAGGATCTTATCAAATGCTTTTCGATGTCCAAAGTAGACTGTATCAGTCAGATGCCTTTTGTCTACATGCTTGTTGACAGCTTGTGAGCTGTGACTGTTATTTAGAAAAGTGGTATCGGCTCTTCTGCGGTGTCTTGTTTTTCCATCCGCCCATGAACTGCATTTTCTGGAATAGCTTCTATGGGCCAGTAATACAGATACCTGTACTAGGCAAGTTAGTAGGTCCCAATCACTAAAAGCACCTCGCTACGTGAAGATTAAAGAATCCTTTCCTCTGGTAGTGGGGTAATTTTAAGTTAGAGTTCAATGCCGATTAGTCAGCTGTTTCATCTTTTGGCTTTCCTGTTGTTTATATGAATCCTTATTTTCCATTTACCTATTTGTTCAATATCTCCTTCAGACACTTTTGTTTAAGGCAGGTTCTCTGATGGAAAATAAACAAGGGACTGGTTTTCCACTATTGTGGAAAGTTCCACTACCATGGTGAACATTGATGTAAAAAACCCGCGTGTTTTCTGCTCATGTTGTCATCTCTGCATATCATTCTATATCTTACTTGACTCTTCAACAAGATTTCTGCTTTTGATGTTCTTTAAAAAAATCTATTAATATTT